GGATTACTATGCGTAATTCAATTCAAAAATCCGCAATATTGCAGATTTGAAAAAACAATTGCAGTACCATCCTTAACCTAAGCTATTTATAAACAGCTAAATTAGATTTAAGTGAAGGTGGTGTCAGATATACAGCCGCAATTTACTTAACTGATAAAACAGCAAGGACAATTGAAAGGGAAAAAGGAAAAAAAAGAGTAAACATAATTTTTTTAATTTTGTAAATTAGAGCAGTGACATTTATTACATAATATCAATTTAATATAAAACTTGACCCCCATCTACACATAAAATAACTAAGGCAAGTCACGTGACAATGATTATATATAATCATTAGACTTTATTATAACAATACAATAGGGAAAAAAATTGTATTGGCTTAAAAAATTAGCTATTTAACAGAGGCTTTTTTTTGTTTTAATATAAATTAACTGCATTTTGATACAAAAAGAGTGGTGTTTTAATATAAATTAACTGTGAGAGGTTTGCCTTTTGATATGAAAAGAGTGGCAGGAACTTTGCTGTTTTAATATAAATTAACTGCAGAGGTTTGCATTTTGATATGAAAGCCTTTTTAATAAATTTAGCTATGGGATTTTTTTGTTTTAATATAAATTAACTGCGGGATTTTAATACGAAAAGAATGGTGGTGTTCTCTTTTTAATAAATTTAGCTGAAGAGGCTTTTCCGTTTTAATATAAATTAACTGCGGAAAGGCTTATATTTTAATATAATTAGCTATGAAAGTTTTAATATATCTATAAAAGAGAATTTAATGTATTAATATTTCACGCTTTTATAATAAAAAAATAAGTATTGTTCTCAAAAAAATGCGTCTACTTTATTTTGAAAAATGAGTCATCAAACCTACTTTATTAATCCTAAATTTAATAAAAAATCAATTTACAATTCGCTAGTTAATAAGTATCAGGAATTCACTAATGCTTATGTATATAGTACTATGGTAAAAATGGGAAATAGTACTCCAAATAGTGCTATTGTTTGCCATGAAGTAGCAATAGAATAGACAAACATTAAAAGTAAAAATGCTACAAAAATTGACAATATAATTAAAGAATATATCACTACTCTAACTCATCTATATAACATACCAATAATAAGAGCGAATCATCCTAAACTTAAACTAGAAACAGTTTCTCCCCTTCCTATTATTAGTCCAATCGAACCTATACTAGAAATTTCTAAGAATGCAACAGCTCAAAGAAAGATAGTGAAAGAGATTAAAATAACTGAAGAAAAACTTGCTGAATTAAAACAAATTTACAACATCACAACCGACACTCAAATTCAGCATGATATATATATAAAAATAGAAAAAGCTGAATCAGAAATTAGTTCTAATAAGGACAAAATTAATAAACTAAAAAAAAACGTGAAATATGCTCAAAATTGTAGAGCAAAAAAATTTAAAATACTTACTGAGAACTAAGAGGTAGTTCAGTACGATAAGTCTGGTCGTTTGCCATTACTTTTCGAACATCCAGATCTACACGATCAAATCCACAACTCAGTTAAGTTTGGATCAGCCGATTCAAAAAGGTGAAAGGAGGTGGTTAAGATACGCATCATTGAAAATTTGTGTAAGAATTTGAAGGATAGATATAATATTTATATAGCATGAACAACATTAAAGAATTATCTCTTACCTCGCCAATCTAATTCAATTGCTGCAAAGGCTTACTATCATCTGACATAGATTGCTGTATCTGGAGTTTTGTGTACAGATACTCGAGAGCATTCTGATGGGCATTATTGTCTTGCATCTATCAAATATACAAGACAATTTACTTCTATGTTTGCTGATATGTCCGTTATTGTTTCTCAAGATGACAAAGCAAAAGTGGGTCTTGGAGTACTTGCAGTAAGTCGAACATTTCAAACCTTACAGTCAATTAATGAACCTGTATCCGTAGCCAATCACGATTTTCCTATTGGGTGTAATTCCTTTGGTATATCTAATTATTAAACTAAATGAATTAAAAGATAAACTTTGAACAGGACAACTCGCAATTTTTACACATCCCTAATGGCCTATTAGTATATCCTCGCTAACACATATGTAGGATCTAGAAAGTCTTGCCTTAAATTTCCAATATGATGATATATTGAAGACCAATGAACAAATTCGACCTATTTGGATATTATTAGTAGATGGAAGGCCAGACAAAAATCCCAGATATTTGAAAAACATAATGGTATACTGTCAACTTTTTAAAAAGTTTGATTTGGATTACCTGAGTGTACGAACGCATATACCAGGGTAATCTAAATACAACCCCGTCAAAAGAGGCATGGTAACGCTATTTAGCAAACTTGCTGGGATCACATTACCAATTGACCACTTTGGCAAGCATTTGGATTTGCAAGGAAATGTCACAAATCTCGAGTTGGCTTCTCAAAATTTTTGATATGCTAGAGAGGCTCTTTATAATATTTGGAGTCGTGATTCGATTTTTGGAAAACATGTTGATGCTCGGTATATTGACACATTTACAAATCCGTTTGAAAATTTAGAATTTAAGGGTACAGAAAAAGAAAAGGACAAAGAATTAAAAAGACAAGAAAAACAAAACCAAAAAAATGCAAAAAAGAAGAATAAAGCACTTACCTTTCCCGAATGCTTTGTTCTATGGTCTTGGATTGAAAAATACTGCAATTTATGTACATATTCCATTGATATCAGAAAATGCAAAGATACAAGTTGTTGTAGACTACCAAGAGCTAAAGAAGCAATTGAATTTCTTGAAAGCTACAATAGTTTCTTACCACCTGTTACAAAAGTTAAGGATGAACACTTTACGAATCCTATTCACTTACTCTAGTATTATGATCGTCTAAAAATCCCAGGCTACGATGCTTATTGTCCATCTCTTGAAAAAAACACATACTCCTGTCTTTGTTGTTCTACATATCAAAAGTACTTTCCTACCCTTACTTTCCTAAAGAACCACAAGAAAACAGCACACCTTGCAACTCGAGAATGACCCAAAGGCTAATCTAAGAATCAGAATAAGCCGCTTGATGATTTTTCTCTTCTACCTTCACAATGATCAAATATCATTTCATTTGAATTAAAGGAATATGTATCGGATGGAGAGTAAGCATGTGTTGAATTGCAGTATTAATAAATATTTTTGCTTATCACCGTATATTTTATCTGTCATTATAATATAAATGATCACGTAATATATATCTAAGTGTAATGTAAGACATCTCTTAGAAGCCCCTGCCACCTCCACCCCCAAAAATATTACGTAATATATGTCAGCACCCTTATTATTTTTTTAATGTTTTTTTATTTTTTAAAATTTTAATAAATATTGGTTGATATTTGATTATTTATAATATTATTATTTGATTTTATTCAAAATTGTTAATTTAAATATAAATCTACTAATTTACATTATTGTAAAATGATTAAGGAAGATATTACGACCATATAGTAAATAAATTATAATTATTTAATAAATTTCTATAGGAATTAATTAGTGTTAAACCACAGATTACTTAGTGTCGAACTTAGGATTAATCAATGTTGAATCAGTAATGATTAATTTGTTGATTCAATTTATTTAATTTCTGTAATTCAAATTTGAAATTGCAATTGCGAAATTATAAAAACTACGCAAATTTTTAAAAAATTGTGAAAATTTTAATTGTAAAAACTGCGTAAATTTTGAAATTGCTAAAATATTAGAACATTTCTTTGAATTTTGCATAAAAATTAGATATTTTGCTAACTCATTGAATATATTGAATGCTGATATGTTTTGATACAATTTTATATAAGGAAAGTTTTATCACATTTTTGTTTCTTTAATTGTTCAATCTTTTACATTGACAATTTTTAAATTTTTCTCAAATAACAAATTCCAAAAATGCTTATTACAATTAAATGGTCAGATGATGAAATGCAATACTTGATCAATTTAAAAGGGAAAGGAATGATGACTACTGGAGAAGATTTGGAAGATTAAAGTTATCTTTTTAAAATGAGATTGCGACACAGATTCAGGAAAGGTTCATGACGGTATTTAATGGATTGCAGGCAAGGGAAAAATTTAAAGAAATGGTCAGGGATTGTAAAGTAAGTAAATTACTAGTAAACAAAGAATAAAAATATTTATATTAATTGTAATTTTACAATAATAATTTAATAATTTTAATTCTTTAGTTATTTGAATTAAAGTAACACATGAACCAGCTTGAGCTAACTCAACCATCGTCTCAAACTGAGCTAATTTATTTTAGCTTATGAGCCAGCTTGGCTCAAGTATAAAATGTAGTAAGCTGAGTCAGCTCGTGAGCCATACAAGCTGGCTTATAGACTTACATTATTAATAAAAATCTGAAAAAAAATTTTGAAATGATTGAATAATTCTAAATAATGATTTTCTTCAGAGAATTATCTTCAAAATGATTTCCTTCAATAAAACATTTCTGAATAATTCTCTTGAAAAGAAAATCCTTCTGGAATATTTCTTATAAATAAAATCACTTTCAGAGTATTTTTCTTTAAGAAAAATATTTCTGAAGTAATTCCTTTTAAAAGTTTCATTTTCAAAGTGATTTCTATTAAGAAATTTGATTCTGTAGTGATTTTTTTTTAAGAATTTTACTTTTAAAGTGATTTCTATTAAGAAATTTGCTTTCCCTATAAATAATATGTATAAGGAAAGTATACAGAAATAATACGTTTAAAAAACGTATAATAAACGTAGAAAA